GAAACTTGAGCATCTCAAAAAGCATGGGTCGCAGATTTTGATAATTTTTTACCCCACCCAATATACTGCAAAGATTTCATGACCACTTGAAAAAGGATGAAATGCTGCATCGAATGCTACCGAGAACTCTTAGAAATCTTTGTACGAAATGTGGTGTTCATTTGAGAAAAGCGACATTACTTTCGGAACGACCTAATATATTCCCAATCAGCACGCTCACTTGCCCTCTGTGAAAATCCACTCCCGAGCTCAAGCTTGCAAAAAAGTCGATAAAATCGATATCGATCGATAACGAAAATAGTTTACGACAGCCGCCCTACCCCGAAGGGTATATGTGCAATAGAAACTTCTTTTCGGAACATACGTACACACGGACGTACATACAAACAACATTCAGCTATATGTTTGTAAATGAGGATAATTGAGCAGTAGGTAAGTTCACCAAGGAGAGATCACAGTCCTCACTTTGGTAGGTCCAAAATTTTTCCAAAATCGTATCTCGATAAGCATCTCGCAACATCCTCAGCAAGCTTACAGATGTTTCAAAAGATATTTTCTTTTCTAGCTATAGATTTCACATTAGTAAAGTAAAAATGAAACTTCAACGTCTGTTTTGCTGTCCTTCAGAGGTACGGAATCACATAATGAATTTTATGAAAACGTAAGTATGCTTGAAAAACTAGAAGGGCTTCCAAACGATGTGAGCAAAGTGCATGAAAAATTTTTTTTCTTTCGAAATCAGCAGTGTCGAAAGAGTACAAAACAGGCAGACCTTCTGAAATTTACTCAATTCCGTTACAGCGGGAATTTAGAAATATTAGTACTCGATTTTCTATCTGCATGCGCGCGTTACAGAGTAAAAAAATTCCCTACCTGTATTCCAAAAAGTTGCAACCATCTTTGCTGTGGTCTTTCACTTATGAATACAGCTTCAGCATCTCCGGTGCTTACATAGTCATCGATAAGCTAAATCACTTCGAAAAATTCATGAAACTAAAACCATTGTATTCTTACCCGACGTGAATAATCATCGATTGTTTGTATATACAGATAAAAATGCTCAACTCCTTGCAATTTATAATGTTCTATCATTTCAGCTAATAGTAACCACTTTGTCTCATCTCCGTACATCGGTGAAAGGCATAACGACAAGATGTACTTATCCTCTAAAACATGCAATAGCTGTTTGTTTTTTTTTTGGGATAATGAGAAAACTGAAACTGACCATCGCTTCTGTGCAATACCGGGACGTAAACAATCACGCCTTCAAATTTTCTACGCGTGACACTCATGTAAACAGCTCTATCAGGCTTACAACAGTGAACGACATGTTCGGGGAACACCCGGGATCCAACTGGGTCGACAAACTCGATTTTTTGCTCATCGAAGTAGCGGCAATAGACTGAGCGCCTGAAAGTGTGAAAGTGGTGATGACGTGAGTACAAAGAGTGAATTTAGTCTGTTTGGCATGGTTGAAATGTCGTCAATTTTCTGTGGCCGTAATCATCATCGGACTCAGTGGGTGCTTCTATCCAGCGGGTAAGCGAAAACAGCGTCACTAGGTTGGATCGGTACTTACGAAGCTCTCTGGTTTTGCTACACACTTGCTTTGTGAATACTAATACTTTCGTGAATTAGTCTACCCATATTTCCAGAACCCACTGGGTTTGTTGATGAGTACGGCCACTTGTCGCATCTACCAAAATTCGAAACGCCCATCCCATTTTTAGCAAATACATAAAGTACACGCACGCACACATAAAGGCCACTGCATGACGAAGGCGCT